CCCCAAAACCCCAAAACCCCAAAACCCCTCAAAAAATCCCAATACTGAAACTTCTTCACTAATAAACCCACCACTCAAAAATCCAATTTCAAAAATTCCTACTTGTTCTTGCTACTGTCTAATTTTCTTCCAGGATTCCTACTCAGCTTCTTCTTCTTGGCACTGTCCATGCGTGTCTGGGAAGGATGGATCTGAACTTGGCTGTGAAGGGATTGGGGCTGTGAGTGGAGGTTTGAGGTTTGGCCATGACAGGGTGGCTGAGTGGTGGAGAGTAGTGTGGGGGTACTGGTAGGGAGTTTTGGAGGGATTTTGGGGGTTTTGGGGGGATTTTGTGTAGGTGATGATGGATTTTAGCAGGGATATAAAGGAGATAACAGTACCTATTGAGGGAGACATTAGTAAGATCATTATGTAATAGGTTTCGTAATATTCAGACCAGGCGGATTTTGTGTTGAGCCATACGAGAGGAATACTCAGTCAGCAGAATAGAATTTGGTTTGTAATTTCGATAATATTATCTTGAGTTTTCTGTAATGGTCTGATGCTTGTAAGATAAATCCCATAAGCAATGTTGAGTAATCCAAAATATATTGATTTATACAGTGGATCAATCGATTCTCCAAAAACCAAAAATGATATCAGGAGCAATCTCAAAGACAAGAATAAGCATGAGCATATCTTAGAATATTTTGATTGTCTTACTCCATTGAAGTATTCAACTCAGAGCCAATATTTATCATAATCAATTTGAGGAAAGGATTTGAAATACATATAGAATGAAAGAATAAACAAAATGCTTGTTCATATCATTAACATTATTCAAAACCCAAAAGAAACTTTAGTCACAATTGTGTCTAAATTCAGAATGTAAATTTCAGAGAAAATAGACAAGGAAGCTAAAGCAAAGGCCTGCATAAATATCCGAATGTAGATATTAAATGTAAAAATTAAAAAAGCTTGCCAACAAACATTTTAAATCTTGTTTGGCGAGGGTTGTCTCTTCTGTATCAAAGAAAAATTCAAAAATTGATAATTGCAATGAATATAATAAAGGCCATGAATGATAGATAATTGACTACTGAGCTTCCAGATCTTATTCCTAAACTGTTTAGATATTCATCAGATTGAGGATATAATCCACCCATTTGGGAATGGCTTCTACAAATGGAAGATCTTTTAGCTTGATAAAATCAAATGACAGCATTGTAAAGCCCATTCCAGTCAGGAAGGAGAGCACTTTTGGAGAGAAATAATCAGGAACCAATGGCAGGAGCATTGCAAGTTGGAGGCTATTCATTATGCTGGAGAAGGAATTGAATGGAGATAATGATAGAACAGAAGAAATAGTGGCCATGATCATACTCATTAAGATATTAAAGTAGTTGCGGCTTCAGTAGATCCAGCAGCTGCAGATATTTTAGATCAGGATTCATGATTATCAGCACCTTGATAGCCAGTTTTACATGTCTCTCACAGAATTGGGTTTCCTAATTGACAAAGATCACAATTAGAGATATTGCATTCTTCAACGGTGATTTTGAACTTCTGGAAATGAACTTCGTTGTTGAACGATATCTGGATGGAAAAGAATAAGTTGCTCTTTTCTCAAGTTTAGGTGTTGTTTTTAGATATAATTCCTGTTTTTCTGCATCCATATGAGTCCATTCTGGAATTTTATTTGAGCCAGTCTGGGCTAATGTAAAAGAAATATCTGTATAATTTCTGGATTGAGCTCAAGTCCAAGTAAAGTTAATTTGCACTACAGAATTGCTCTGTACCGTCTGAACATGACCTTCGGGCCTCAGAGCTGCACCAGTATCGAATAAAGGGTTAACTGTTGTGGTGATATCATTCACTAAATTGAGGATGAAGTTGCTATTGTGAGTGTTTTAGAGCTAGAAGATATGCTTGGGTCTGAATTGGTGAAAGAAAGCTGATAGCTTGTGGTGATTTGAGTGAAATAAAAAGTATCTACATCAGCTCTTGACCATTTATTTCGAGCCTTCCTATTCCATAAGCTAGTGAATTGACTGAATTATACTCTTTGAGTACATTTGAGTTTTCAGTATCAATTAGAATCATCCTTTTACTATTTGGCAGGGTAGTGCTTTGTATCTGAATTTCAATGAAGTTGTTAAATTCTCTCATTATGTAACTACTAACAACGCCACTTTCACTCCAAAAGAAGCCTGAATTCTGTGGAGTTCCATCTGAGGAATTATTTTTGTAGAATAAGAAATGATTGTCATACAAGATCATTGTATAAATTGACTCTTTATTTTGGCTAAGAAGAGAGTCACTTCTTTTATTCGCACATCCAGAAGTTGGGAATACAATACTCTTCTTCCCCACAAGATTTAATGTGTCTGAAAAGTTATAATTCCCTCAATAATATTGATCGTTGGAAGTGTCAACAGATCCGGAGAAGAGAAGATCACTACTAATAGGAACGAAGTTGATAAATTTGAGAACTCCAAAACTAAATCAAGCCAAACCTGTTGTTGTAGTATCCCACCTTCAAGTCTCCATTACTGAAGCTAAATCTACACTGAAATAGATATAGCCATTCTCAAATTTAATGTCACCTTTTCCAGAAATAGCAGAAGTGCTGGTATAAATCTCCCTTGTGACTAAAAGATTAGTAGTGCTGATTTCTATTATTCTGTTTAATGTTTGATCTGGAATATAAATAAAGCCACCTTCTGGATCAATAGTTAGTGAATACGACTGCCAATAGATATCATAAGTCACAATTTTTGTTTTTGTTAGGCTATAATCACATTGATAGATAATAGTATCCCAAGGCTTAAATAGATAACGGTAATATCCACCAAAATATAGCAAACTCCTTTCTTGATCTTCTAAGATATTTAAAAAAATAAGAATTAGTTGGACCTCTAATTGCAAAACCTCCTGAAATTGGCAACCAATCTGCTGACTTTCCTCTGTGCATACATTTGCAGCAGCAATAGTGATTAACACAAAGAGAAAATACATTTTCAGCATTTGTTATAACTAATAATTTATTCAATTTCAAAGTCTCTAAAAGGGGTTTTGGGGTTTTGGGGTTTTGGGG